GATACTGTCGGATACTGTCGGATACTGTCGGATACTGTCGGATACTGTCGGATACAGTCGGATACAGTCGGATACTGTCGGATACTGTCAGATAGTCTGTCAGGTAGACCTTGCAGGTTTGAAAGTTAAAGTGTTATCTTTTCCATGAGCTCAAGGTGTCCATTGCATCACGTGCATCATGACAAGAAGCAACAAGCACCTTTCATGAACATGTGCATGCATGTACATTTTTGTGCACACAGAGTTGACCAAGAAAACTCTGCCGGCATCCTTCGAATTTACCACCTTACGTTTTGGCCATGGGAACTCCAAAAGGTTCGAGCATCAAACAATTGCAATCCTTCAGGCCCATGACATGGTGGCTCATGAAACATAATTAGAAGTGCAGTTCAGCTGCCGGAGGCTGTCCTTCCCCATCATGAGAAGTGCATGTAACATCATGTAACATTGTGATGCATGGAATATCCATATATCCAGCTATAGCTATAGCTTATAGAACATACACAACCCAGCCCCCAGCTCCGTTCAAACACAGCCGCACCATCCCGCATGTCTATGAGGCATGCTTTGATGCCACCAGCTCAGCCACATACTTCTCAACTTCGTCCAACCTGGGTGTCCGAGTCGAAGCTCAACGGTTGAGCAGGTGGGCAATGGGATTGCTGTGATACAGTTGAGGTTTGGAATATTTTGGAATCATAACTCGAAACACCCTGGTATGAAGCAGAATCTGTGAAAAAAACATCAGCCCAGTCCCAAGCACAGGATCAAATTACAGTAAATCCCAATGTACTGTGGCAAGATACTTAGCATCATTCCATGGGTCGGCCATATGGTCGATTTCAGTCTCCTCTTGGCCAGGCCCAACTTGAAGTTCCCACTGCCTCAAGACCTGGAGGACCAGATTGGGATGGATTGGGCAGGTCTGGGTGTGGCAACATGGATTGACTTGGTAGCTGTATGACATGGTCGTCTGCTACCATGCAGGCACTGAACCATTCCCAAGCCTCCCTTCCAAAGCGTGGAGGGTAAGCAGAGCTGGCCCGCAACTGGCGGGGAATTCCCTGGAACCTTTTGCAGCCACTAGAATCTCTGTAGGTGCGGGCCAATTTCGTGAACTTGTCGGATCGAACGAGTTTCCTGTGAGGGTGAAGACAAGGCTCATGGAGAACAACAACCAACTGTTTCAAAACGTTAAAGAAAGATGGGTTGAACCTTGGAGGAAGACCCTATACATATGAAAACAAGAGTTCCGTGATCATGAACCTCCAACACGTGTCCTTTTCAGTGAGCCCACAAATGGATGATTGCTCCACAGCCGAATTGGTTTAGGGCTAGTGCCCCCATACATCCCCAACCACGTCTGGGACAAATAGGTCGTCCGCAATTTCAATAGCTTGGCGAATCGTCTGTGCATGAACACCTGAGGAGGCAATCTTGAAGGCTTCTTCGCATTACAAAATCTATCTCTGAACTGTGCACCTATCAGTGTGCTAGGAACCTCTCTGCATGCATGCTCACATGGTCTTGTTTGAGGATAGCGCCAGTGAAGATAAAGGATTCTCCAGCACCCAGGTCCCACCGTTGTTCATCACCACATAAAGGAGGAGAACCACCTGCATATGGGCCCAATCAAAGGCTTTTATGTATGTTGCATGCAACCACTTGTACATCATGCAGAATATTCAGGCATGCAATACCTTTTGAACTGTTGACACCTTTCTTGCCAAGGTTCACGGGAAATCATAAGGTTTGCCTCCCTCACATATTTCAGAGACCTGAGCAGGAGCATAATCTTCTTTGCATGCAGTTTAGGCATGGACTATCATGGACTACCCTCTCCAAAATGTATCAAAATGATTCAAAAATATATTCAAAATGTCTCATGCATGTACAGCCCCACCTGCGTCCCATCGGGGTGGAGGGACTACGGCCAGATGTGCCTCCTAAGTATCAGGTAGCCCAATGGACATTCTCACAAACAGAGCGTTATGCAGACCCTTTGTAGCCTGTGAAACTCATGCAAAAAAGTGTGAGCGTGTACACAAACATATACATCCGTGCGAGGGTCTATTGATCGTCACCCATGATGAACAAGTCGGACCCAAGAAGCACAATGCACCACTCTTCAGCATCATGCAGGAGATCAAATGCTGAATGAAGCCCTTGGGGCTCAAGATGTCCTGAGGCAGGCCGTGGGTCCCCGGGCACCATCACGGTGGTTTAGGTATGGGATGGTCTCAAACCTATAACGCAGAAACAACCTGATCCACATGGTTTGTTTTGGGATGGCCCCAAAAGCAACCTTTGGATGCCTTTGTATTGTTAGATGTCCATGAGGTAAAGGAACCAACAGCTGTGTGTGTGACCCTCATAGACGACCTGCACATGTCTAGGTCATGCACTGCATGAAGAAGTGCATTTGCAGACAAGTATCATCGTCCTCAGTGAACTCAATGTCATGCGAAACGGCCTTGTACCCCTTGTTCTTGAAGGCCAAAGACACACTCCGCTTCCCAGCGAAGCAGTCTACGCAATCGATGCTGCCCTCAGACAACTTTGGAAACACCTTGGCACGTCAAGGCCATCATACCCCTGACAAGGTTCCCATGCAGCCATGCATGCATGCAGTAAAAAAGACCACATGCAGCCATGTAAATGTTCGCAATCATTCCATGCCATGTGCGTACATGGCGCTAAAGCCAAAGCAGTCATAATGCGAAGCAATCGGATTGGAAGATAGCCAGGATGTGGTTCTCCAGGAGGAAGATCTTTAGGAAATTGAGCTGCCTGAATCCTCAGCCCAACTGCTACAAGATTGCATCTAGATTCATCTCATAGCTATAGGAGTAGCTATAGGCTATATATATATATATAAAGCTGCATAATCATGCACAACCCCTCTCTCTTTAGACCGTCGAGGCTCCGTGCACTCATCTTCGTTTTCGCCATCACTCGCTCAGATCCCTTTTGTGGAAAAGCTGGTGGGAAAGCGGCTGGCAGATTCTCATGCAGCTCAGTTTGCATTGGACATGTGAAGTTGCACCACATGCAGCTTGACTTTGGGCACATTGCAAACGAGCTATATATATATATTGCAAATATACACTAATCTCGATAGAAGCAGAAGACATGCCGCGGACACACTTTGTTGCATGGGTAAAAGGCATGCCTGCATGCATGCAATATTGTTCTTTTGCACTTGCGCGTTGAAGCCTTCCCCGGCAATGAACACACAATGACCTGCCATCCCACAGAAACCGTTGCAAACAAACATATAGTATACATGTGCACACACAGGTTTATCAATGCAAAGTGGTGGGAGGCAATGAGCGACAAAGAAAGCTAACATGGATCGATGGATGAACTCATCAAAGAAAGCTCTAGCCCAACATGCCTGCATCCTTGTGCAGGGAAAGTGGGTGGCTTTGCAAATTATTCCACACTCACCTACCTATTCCATGGCCTCCTCAATCAAGGGAGCCATGTTTGGATCATTGTTCACATAAAATCTATTGCGATTGGGAGGAGGTGCCACTGGATGGCCGGCATGGGCCCGAACCCACCTGTCCCCTCGATTAAATGATGTCAGCAGTTCCTCAGGAACCTTTCCGGTTGTACGGAACAAACCAGTCACTTCACGTGCGCGGTTCCTGACCTCTTCCAAGTCAAGTCCAG